GTCACGCTAACAATGGAAAGTTAGGACGTTGAGGGTAGATGTCTTCTGAAACTGTGTTAAAGGTGGCCCTGCAGTTGCTGGAGAGGGCGGCGTCCCGTGGTCACTGGTTGATGTTACAGAACTGCCACCTGCTGGTAAAGTGGCTGAAGGACCTGGAGAAGTCCTTAGAGAGGATCACCAAGCCCAACCCCAATTTCCGCTTGTGGCTCACCACAAACCCCATCCAGGATTTCCCCATTGGCATACTGCAAAAGTCTCTAAAGGTGAAACACAACTTTTCTTTACCTTCCTTCGTAGGGTTTCCAAGATCCAGGATTGAGTACAAGGATTTCTGTAAATGGGTGTTGAAGTAGAATACTTTAACATTATACGCACCAGTGGGGGTTAGCCGCATTCAATGAGAATGGAAGAGACAACTTTTTATTTTGTTAAACTTTCCAAGACTTGCCTTTTTGATATGAGGCCGAATGGCTTGTTGAGACTGCTGTTCACATTTGACAATACTAACTACGATAATAACAGCTCAGCATTTTCTTAATCGTCACTCTGTTTACATGTGCTTTTATATTGTGTGCAGGTAGTGACAGAGCCTCCCAACGGTCTCAAGTTGAACATAAGAGCAACGTACTCCAAAATAACCCAGGAGTCCTTGTTTGCATGCCCTCACCCTGCCTACAGCAGTCTGGTATATGTGCTGGCCTTCTTCCATGCTGTGGTGCAAGAGAGACGCAAGTACGGCAAGATTGGCTGGAACGTCCCCTACGACTTCAACGAGTCTGACTTCTTCGTAAGTGGCACGGAAGTGATTTTCTCTATATTTAAGTGATTTTGTTTGATTATATATTATCATTATGTGTTGTATTTCTATTAACTTCCCCGGGTTCAACAGGTGTGTATGGAGATCTTGAAGACCTACCTGACCAAGGCTCACAACCAAGGAGAAACCAATATTCCCTGGGGAAGTCTTAAATACCTTATTGGGGAGGTTAGAGCTGAATCCATTGTGATTTAATAGATTGCATATCTATAAGGTTGCAGGCTGATGCTGATACATTAAGTGTGTGCATATCGTTTTCTGTAGGTGATGTATGGTGGGCGAGCCATAGATAGCTTTGACCGCAGGATCCTGAATGTCTACATGGATGAGTACCTTGGAGACTTCCTCTTCTACACTTTTCGGCAATTCCACTTCTTCAGCAACAAGGACGTAGATTATAAGATCCCCCCAACTGGGTCCAAGAAAGTATACGTTGGTAAGTCAATATTGGAATTGCTCTACAGTCATGTGCGTGAATGAATCCGTCACGTTTGAATGCATTCACACACACAGAAAACCTCATAAACACTTAGCCTCCATTCCAAATGGCGGAAAACCAGGTGCAGAAACAGTTTCTGCCGTTGCGTGGGACATTTTGTTGGCCGGCCGACAGAGCAAACTATTGAACTGCTGGTCGCTGCTAAAACCTACATTTTTACCCTCCTGATACAGATGAAATTGAGGAGCTACCGCTATCAAACACACCAGAGGTATTGGGTCTTCATTCCAATGCAGAGATAAGATACTACACCCAGGCAGCTGAAGACATGTGGGCTCACCTGATAGACCTGCAGCCTCAGACAGGTATGCTTTGGCTGCATTTGTCTATCTTGCTTCTCAATTCATTTCAACGAAAGAAATAGACACGTTACTTTCCCGCCTATGACATTGAGTGAGTGCTCAAGAGCATTCCAGGCTATAATATTTGCTTTTTTCAAAAGTACAAACTATTCCATACGGTCTAAGAGGTGTTTACTCTCTTGGCCACAATGCTGCCATGTGTTTCTTCTTCAATGGCCTTTAACGCCCTCATATACCTCAGGTGAATCTGGTGGAGCCATTGGTAGGGATGATTTCATCAGCCAGGTGGCCCGCGACATTCAGAACAAGCTGCCCAAGTTATTTGACATGGACGTGATCTCCAAAAGGTTTGGAACCGACATTTCCCCAACCGCAGTGGTGCTGCTTCAAGAACTGGAGCGCTTCAACAAGCTGGTGGTCCGCATGCAGCTCTCTCTGGCTGAGATGCAGAGGGTGAGAAGGAGGGACGGAGGACAACAACATATTAGGAAATAGAAACAGATATGGGTTGCATATCTGATTGTCTTGTGTCCCGTAGGCCTTGGCTGGTGAGGTGGGCATGAGCAGTGAGTTGGATGAGGTTGCTCGTGCACTTTTTAATGGTCTTATCCCTGCCATTTGGAAGAAATTGGCACCTGACACTCTCAAGTCCCTTGGCAACTGGATGAGCCATTTCAAGAGGCGCTATGAACAGTATAGGAACTGGGTGAGAACAGACACACATTGTCACGGCTAACCTCTTACATGTCGCCCTTATGTCTACTGGCATTAAAAAGTAGAGAAAGCATCTTCCTGTCTGATGTGTCTGTGCATTTTTTACCCACTAGGTGGATGAGGGAGAGCCTAAGGTCATGTGGCTATCAGGACTTCATATCCCAGAGTCCTACCTGACAGCACTGGTCCAAGCTGCGTGCAGAAAAAATGGTTGGCCTCTAGATCTTTCCACACTGTACACACAGGTGTCCCAGTACCGCAGTGAGGACGAAGTCAGCGACCGGCCTGGACAGGGTAATGAAATAAGAACTACCCATTTGTAGCGTAATCAGTGGTTAGTTATGGAGACTGATGGTGTTTTCCACTGCAGGCTGCTTTGTGTCCGGCCTGTATCTGCAGGGGGCGGACTGGGACATGGAGAAGGGCTGCCTGGTGAAGAGTAAACCAAAGGTTCTGCTGGTCGAACTCCCCATTCTCAAAGTCATCCCCATAGAGGCGCACCGCCTGAGGCTACAGGTGTGGGCCGCTGGCACTGCAGACCTCCAAACATATAATAACTTCACTGATTCCATTTTTTCCCCCTAACTGTCATGCGTGTTTCGTACCGCAGAATAGCATACGGACACCAGTGTACACCACGTCCCTGCGGAGGAATGCGATGGGTGTGGGGTTGGTCTTTGAGGCGGACCTGTCCACCACCGTGCACATCTCTCACTGGGTGCTCCAGGGAGTCTGTTTGTGCCTCAACGCCGACTGAGGACCTCGCTCAGTCAACTCAGCTGGTTTGCTTTCACGCAGTCTGTTCCAACACGTTGATCAATAACATGGATTTCTGCTTCTTTAGAGAGTTTGCGAGAAAAACCCGCGGGTACGTCCGATTAACAGGTAGGTTAGATGATACCAATAAGTTATGATGAAAGATTATACATATTTAAAAAAAGATTAATTGATAGGCACAAAAGAAAAGTACGTTGGACTTGTTTTCCACTTCAGGGCCTTCATTATTTTCTCACTAGATGGCAGCACACAGCAGTAATGAACCCGTCAGTCGGGGCAGAAGCTCCAGGCATTTGTCTTCAGCGTAACAGTGAGCAAAGTACCAATACGCTCTAGTGGGTCAGGATCTGTCTGTCCTTAAAGGATACTACTTGTATCTAATTAAATAAATGTTTGCTGTTAATGTTAAATAAACGTGTTTAATGTTTAAGAACTCTGTTCATTCCTTTAAGGTAAGTAGATGCTGAGTATTTCTTTTGAGGCTGTAAAAAGAACATAATCTGACGCATACAGTGGAAAATGTGCCGTTGACCAAAAGCTGCTGAAGTTTTCCACTTACTGCCGGATAGGCAGCGTGCTTCACTCTAACGTTTAATAAACGAATCTAGTGCAGCACCACGTAATCGAGGCTGCTGAAGTCAGCATGGCAAAGCAGGTGGAGTTCGGGCAAAGATATTTTAGCTCTGGCGGTGAGGTCACAGAAACACAGAAATAAAAGGTTTTTGGTGTGCAGCATTCATCATGTACTATATGATGAATGCTGCATGACATGTAGCCTGAGGCGCTCAAGTGCAGATGAAATCAGTGATGTTTAGACTGAACTTACCGGCTGAAATCACCACAAGACAAATAACCACCAACGTACATGTAATATTTTACATTTCCTTCAAAGATGTCTTGTCGTCTTTAACTTGAGCCACTGTCATCAATTGTGGGCCACTCAGACATGTTTATGACCAAGGAATTGTGTTTCACAAAAGGAAATCATTTCTAATGAACCCACAGATTATTATTATGAGTGAGCTGCAGTGTGCACTGTTGGTACAGTAAATGAGAAGGAAAACCCACAACGAGCAACGTCTCCCACCGCAGATGTCCAAAGTGTGTTCAGCTGCTCATGACTGGAGGGGTTTGTATGAACCCTTATTGATCCAGTCCCTGATGGCACTATTGGCTACATAGTCAAATACCACCAGTGCCCTGAAACAAAAAACTCTCACTGCTCATTTCCCCCCCAATACCAAACACTTTCTGTTTGCTGTGGTTAAGAGCAGGTGGGCTTACTCGGTCTCATCCCAGTGGACATGCTGTTAGCCACTTTCTGTCCATCGTACGGGAGGCGATTAGTGCCGGTGTGAACGCCTCGCCTATGAGTGTCAAAGTGTTAACAAAACCTGTAACTGAGAACCTCACTAGAACTGGTATACAGGCCACCTGCATAAGTGCTCTTTGCTACATGTCGGCCAGCTCAGCCCATGATGGGGCCCTGGAGGCGTAGTCTGCCCCGGGCATGACAGACATCTGGGGCCCTCAGGCTTTGGCTGCGGTTGAAGGCTGCGCTGTGGTTGCCGGCACTGTAAACCCATGTCCCTCGTGCACAGTCCGACGGAGGTTACAGTAACCTCAACTATTCTGCAGCTTTGGCAGAAAGAGACAACTGCTCAGCTATGGGACACGAACATCACGGGTGGATGGAGAGACAGCAGGTTAAAACACGGTGGTAACAATGCAGCTTTATGGGCTTTTATGAGTAATAACAGAGCCATGTCTTGGTTGTGATTGATTTTGTATTAAAATAACAAATGCTCGTCACCGGCAGAGTCCCGGCCGCGCGTTGTCCTCCGTGAGAAACGGGACAGGGTGCAAACGACCCCGCAGGCTGCGCGTTTAAGAGACCCGGGGAGGCTATAAAAGTGGTTTCATGCCCGCTGCAGTAAGAAAGAAAAAAAAAGAGAAAAGAAAAGCTGCGGTGGATACGCGCGCAGACGGAGGGCAGGCGGCGCAGAGGAAGGACACGCAATTTAACACCCACGCGCGCGCGATTCGGTGCATATATTCAAGTGTCCGCTCTCTCGTCATAGGTAGAGACAGGCGGGCTTTGCGCGGTGGGGGCTTTCTACAGTGTCACGTCAGGGAGTTCGCAGTCAGGAATACTGAACGCACAGACGGACACGGAGTTTTTTGGACATTCTCTCCACTTCGGTCCACATCGCTGCACGTGCGCTACTGCAGAGACGGGGATGCGCGTCTTTTCCGGCCGCGCCGCAGCCGCTTGACACGTTTCGTCCCACCGCGCTGGAGGGTCTGCGTTCTCACGGGGGGGATCCGGGCTCAGTTGTACTTCTTGCCGACCGCGCTTTGGATGCCACGGAAATGGGACCGCGCCAACGGGAGAGCGTGTCCGCGCCTTGTGGCAAAAGTTTCCTCTGGACCGCGCTGATCCTCTGGCTCGCCACCACGTCAGCCGAGGGGACCTGGAAGACGGGACTTTACAAAACACACTACCCGGCCGGCGGCCAGGCTGCAGCCTCCCTCACCTCCGTCTATCAGAAAAGGTACGTCCTCTACTCATTGGAACACGCAGACCTCTGTACTGTGTGTTACTCCTCGGTTGTGTCATGTGTTACAGCTACACAACAACCCCCTTTTTTGCCTCAGTCTTATTTTGACATCTTCCCAATCTCAGTTTCGGATGTCCTCTGCAGAGCTACTCCCACCGACATCCATCCACCAGGTCCTATTGTCTTCCTGGCACTTTGTTTCCTTTTTCCTGTGCTCACACTATTCTGCTGAGTCCACTCTTCCTTGTTGTCCCCATCCACACACCCTCTTCCTCTCTCTCTCTCTCTCTCTGCGGGGCTCCAGTGGGCCCCCCGTCTCCCATGCACTGTTTCTGAGGTGTGTTGTGCTCCTGAACTCCGCTGCTGGAGATGTCAGGACGCTCCTCAAAGTACCACAAGTTTGTTAGACGGGGAGGTGAAGACATTGGTGGCTGTAATAAAAACGCACAAGCTTGATTGGAATAGCCATGCACATAGTCCATTGAAAGAAAAGGGGGGGGGGTGAGAGACGGTCCCGTGATATGATTTGTCCCCTGTGTGTCCGACACAGAGTTACTTAACCCCCATGAGAGCGATAACCAGCCGTGCCCCCCCCCTCCTGGACAGAGCCGGCCAAAGATGAGTGCACGTGTCCCATATTACATTCGTACGCTGTCAGCCCGAGAGCCGGTGCAGATCCCGGTGTGGGGCCCGAACGGGGGGGGGGGGGGGCTGAACCCTCTCGGTGTGTCCAGGTGGCTTCCTGCACTCCCGTCCTCGCCCCACTGGCTCGCCTCTACGCTCAAACCCCCGCCCCCCCTGCTCCTCCCGCCTCCCCCCTTGTCCCCCACGGCCAGAGGTTTTGATGACATGTTTGCTAAACACAAGCAGCTGGGACTCTGTTCTGGGAATGGGAGATTAGTTTACTGTGGGCGTGCTGCTGTTTGTAAGCGACAAGTGGAGGAATGTCGGGATGGACGGAGGCGGGGAGGTCGGCGGGTTTGAGGTGACGGGGGGGGGAGGAGAAGGGTCCGGGTCTCCACCTGCTGTCTGACCGGCTGAGTGGAAGCAGCGGCTTGTGGAGCGTCAGGAAAGGCGAGCAGCAAGCGGTGGGCCGGCGTTGAGCAGAAGGCCTCCCTCTCGCTAGCGGCTTGACACTGACTGACGGGAACTTGACTTGCTCCAAAGCAGACCGGGATTCTGTCGAGGGGCAAACCTTCGCTAAGAACGCCCTCCCTCACCCGGCTTGTCTTCACACAGCGATTACCCAAATCAAAGGGGATTAACAACTCTCGGGTAATTTGGCATCCGCTCTGTCGTGGAGCTGATAAAGTGTTCCTCCACCCGTGTCCTTCTTAGCGGCTCTGAGCTGCTTCTTCATTTCTTGCCTGGCTCGCTTCTTTATCCTCCCTCGGAGGACTTGTCATGGTCTGACAGGCAGTCTGAACCCGGGGCCACTCTCATTCTTCACACATCTTAACCATATCCACGTTTTCCTTAAGCATGGGAATGAAGATGACAGACATTCCAGTAGGTTGAGCCCTGTGTGGCTCAGGGCTCAATGGCTTTTAGATTTCAAATAACTTTAAACAACGTACGTGCTGAAAATTGTTCATTATTGTTAAGAAGCCGCGACCAATTGCGCATCCAATCGCTTGTGGCTGAACCGCTAATCAGCAGAGAGCAGGACCGTAGCGCAGCAAGTAGTAGATGCATCATTTAATGAAGCTAATATTTTTTCAAATTTGATTTGATCGTTGGTGCGATATAATGAATGTCTTCAGTTGAGGGAAATTTCCTTTGCACTTCTTGCGGGAAACACTTAAAGATGCACGCAGCCGTGACACTCGGACCTCACAGGTGTCCACTTCTGAAAGCTCCAAACAGACAAAGACAAATGAGAGTTGCCCTCGTTCGTGTGAGGCCGCTGGGAAGAGTCGCTGTGGTGCTTTGCTTATGGAAAACACATGGCAACTTTAAACCGACCCCTTTTCTCTATTAATACATCATTCGATACTTCTTCACATTCTTAAACATTCGTGTGAACTACTCTTGTCTTCTGTTTTATTTTGAGAAGCTGCAGAGAATGGCCCCGTGATTGCTCATTCATTTCACTCTGGATGCTGAATTTGTCATTTTTCGCTGCGCCACATACATCATGCACCTCCTCCATGTCCCGTGGGAGCAGCAGTGCTTCATAATTGTCTTTCCTTCCATGTCCCCGTTCCCATCGGAAGCACCCTTGTGTGAGCCTCATGAGAAAATAACCTTTTGTCTCCTCCTCTTCTCGCCGTATGTCTGGACCTTTACCGCATCTGTCTTTTGTCCTTTGTTCTCCTCGAGCGTTTTTTTCTTCCCCCCCAGGCCAAAAAAATGTAGAGAAATTCCTTTAGATTTCTATGCATGCTGGATCGCTAACATTTCCCTGAGTGCTCTTCCCCCCACAGCACACGGATGGATGTGCAGATGCAAAGTGAGGAGCTGCTTTCACCAGTATTTATCCTGTCAGTTCACACGGCTCCCATCCTCGTCCTCCGCGCGCCGTCCACTGCAGAAAGCGCTCAGTGTAGTGGTGAAAGATGCAGCCTACATAGTGTACAAGGCCAAATGAGGGCGACTGGGATACAGCATACCTGCTTTTTTTTTCATAGTTCATAGTCTCAGCATTAGTTTTTATTTCCCTCCAATGTTTTACCGCCTTGGCGTCCGTAGCGTCGAGGAACAGATGGGCCAAAGCTCTGATTCTTCCGTCTTTTTAAAGATTGAAGATTTCTTTCATAACTGTTGGCTGTGACTGTGAGCAACGGTTGATGATTTATTTAGCTTGGGCCGGGCGTTCGTTGTGCCATGTGTGCTCAGAGACCTAATACTCGCTGAGGGCCCGCTGGGTGCTTTTTGCCAGTGAAACAGTGTGATGCTGGTGGGTTTCACACTTCATGGCCCAAGGTTTCCTCGTCTAAGAGGAGGGTGTTGACTGTGAAACGTTCTAGATTTAAACACGCCAAGTGATTAAATCCAGGCAATACCCACTGACGCATTGTATAGTAGTAACCAAGTGAGGAAAATCAGAGGAGATACCTTTTTAATACCGTGAAGCATCTGTGTCTGCGCTGCACTGGAGAGCATTGTTCTTGCATCCTTGTACTAATTGTAATCATGTATTGTGTAAATCACTTACGCACAACCGGCACTGCAGCTCATTGGTTGTCAAGCGATTTGGGAAATTGTAAAACTGTAGACAGTTGCTTTTGTTCTTTCATTTACTGAAGCAGCAGCGGTTGGCATTTCCTCTTTGCTAATTGCATAAGTGCAAAGAGAGAGAGGGAGACCATAAAAGCCCCCCCCCCCCCCAGTGGCCCCTGGGGACACTCTTAACTGGTCCCAGGGGAAAACTTGTCTCGGCCTGGGAAACTCAAAAGGGTCTGGAGGATAAATGGTGGGGAAGAGTTTGTCTTGGTGGCCCCTCCCAACTCTACCTGAACACAGCTGCTCCTTCAATGTCTGACATTTTTCACTGATGATTAGAGCAATCAGAAGGTAATCATGTGGATCTGTGTTCATTTTTGGAGGCTTGCGGCTGATGGATGTACTAAGATACGTGAAAGGTGGGCTTGTATTAGAAATAACATACGTGGCAGATCAATTCCCTACGCTCGCTTTACTTGAGAAAGTTTGGGAATCATTTCAAAATGCGTCTTTACTTTGCACACCGTTTACCTTTAATAGTCCCTGGGAATAAGTTATCTCAGGCTCACGGATTTCACATCGTCTAACTTTCCCCGTTTCAAAATGTCATCATTCTATTGGCTGCAATATTAATACATAAATGGAAAAACATCGAGATGAACCAGTAAGAAATACCTGCAGTGGTTTCCAGGCGCTGCTCGGAGGTGCCCCGCTCGCCGGCTCAGCTCCGTGTGTGCGGCCAACCACCACATGTGGGGATCCTTAATCAGAGCTGGTGAAGGGCGGCCTCGCATCCTCCGCCATCGGCAGTTTCCTTCAGTGTAAACCATCTCTCACACACACACACACACACACACACACACACACACACACACACACACACACACACACACAAACATATGGTCTCACGTATTGACAAACAGACCTTTTGGGAAAGAACACACTCCCACTGTTGGAAAACGCCTTGGCAGCGGAACACACAGAGTGTAGCTTTGCGTTACGAGCCACACGGCCTCTTTGTGGTTTACTGCCTTTTTTCTATACATCTACCGACGTCCTGCTGCCGTAGTCGTGGGATGTGGTTATTATGTGCACTTTGTTGTTAATAAAATAACAGCAGCATATGGCAGCTCAAACAGCCTCGGCGTGTTTACATAGAAATAAGCAAAAAAGAAGCGTAATCAGCCTTCAGGGTGTCTGTTGATGTGATAATTAGAGGGAGAGGATGAAACTGGGCTCTCCGACTAAACTTTTCTCAGAAACATATTTCATTGCCCCACACTATCAGGAACAGACATCTGATCCCATTAGAGGGGGAATTGAACTCTGAGTATAAATACAAACCGAATAGCTCTCAAATGAATCACCATTAATTATATTAACCCGATTTTCTGCCTTTATCATATTCGGTGGCTTTGAGTGCTTTACATTGCGAACAATTTGAATTTTGCTTAGAAATAAGAAACGGGGGGTACGTGGAGGCCCATCTGGGTTTACGTGAGATTTAAATTCATTCATTTAAAATAAGCCTGGAGAAGAGCTTGATCACAGGAGTTTACCGGCAGGTTTCTCATTGAGATGTAAATACAAAAGCACTCAGTTCAACGCACACAATGCAATTTTTAGTGTGGACAGTTTAATTAAGACACTGATGGCACAGCGCCGCGTATTGCCTCTCTTTTTCAACCAAGAAAGCTTTGCGATGGTTCGGCGGTACTGGGCTGAAAATAATATTTATATCAATGAAAAAACGGTTAAGAACCTGATCTACGATCAAAGTATCAAATCTTAACCTCGGATTCACATTTCTTAACAGCCTCAGTGACTCCTGATGTCTCCCGAGGCCTCTCTGGAAAGGAAGTGGACTCATTATCCAAAACGAACCGTGTTGAAAACCTTCAGTCTCGTTATTGGCCCTCGTCCTCCTCTTTACTCCATCCTGAGGGAATTAAACTCTTCTCCGAGCCAAATGCAAACGGATATGTTTTGATAGAAGAGACAGACCGGAGTGTAAATACAACCCACAATGCACTCCTGCCTCTTGTGACTGATTCAAGCCCTGTAAACACAATAAAGTCGTTTTAAAACAAAAGGATGGGGGAAGGGACGAGACAATCTGAATGTGAATTCAATGTGACTGCGTGGGTTCTTTCCCTTTGTGAACCATCTATTGTGTGATTGTACCTATATCAGAATACCTTATTCGGATATGATCAACCAATCTTCCTTGAGTTATTGACTTTGAACCTTTTATTCTGTCTCTAGAAAAAATAGCAACTGTTGTTTTATTCTGAAATCTGTATTCATCACTCACTCCATTTCTCCATTCAGGAACTGGTGTCCTCACACGGTCACTAAGACAGTGACCTGCCAGGTGCAGAATGGGACGATCCTGCAGCGGGTCTACCAGACGTGCCGCTGGCCGCAGGGATGCACAGGAGGCAGGTGAGGAGGCGACTTCAGCACAACTCTCACTGCTGCACCGGCAACAGAATAACCGAACAAGCAATTATCAAAATGGCTGCACAGTGTCCATCAATTCTACCGGAATACACTGAAATATCTGTAATACAACCATTTTAGGTCATTTTAAAAGGAAATATACAATTTGATAGTGTCTAGTTGCTCATTCTGCAGGATTTGCCGGCATCTAGCTGTGAGTTTGCAGATTGCGGCCAACTGAAAGTTCTCCCGTGTGGGAGAACATTGCTCCATGCAGGGAAAAATGGTTCCGTGCTCCCTGTTGAAACCATGCTTGAGCACTACATTACATTACATTACATTACATTACATTACATTACAAGTCATTTAGCTGACGCTTTTATCCAAAGCGACATACATTACATTTTTAACCCATGGCATTTACATTTTTGCCCAGGGAGCAATTAGGGGTTAGGTGTCTTGCTCAAGGACACTTCGACATGGAACATGGAGCAGCCGGGACTTGAACCACCAACCTTGCAGTTCCTGGCGGTTAGGGTTAGGAGCACCCTCTCTACTCAATGCGCCACGGTCGACCCCCACTACTATCACGTTGCGGTTCCAGCAGGTTTTCTTCTTCTTCCCATCCTGCCAACAGTTAGTGAATCATCAGTCATGCTAGAGGAAATCGAATGTGTACAAGGATCTCAACAATAGATCAGAAGGCAACGCAGCTGCAACACGTGTTGTGAATAACGGACTACTGTTAAAGTTCATCCAACACATGTTCCTGAGGGTAAACAAGAGGTCTTGTGGGACATGATGGATATGATAACTGTAAACGAGGAGGGATAAATGGTCACTACGGCACAATCAAAGCGGCTGCAAAACCTGGACAAATACAACAAGAAGAAACCGTGTAGCTTTAAAGGAACCCGGAAAGAGGGAAATGCACCTGCACCTGCACCTAAGAGCATCTTCGTGCTATCTGCATGTATTTAAACTAAATCATTTTTGCAATATCTCGTGTTGAATCAGCCGCTTCTTATGCTAATCTTAAAGTGAGACCCCCACCTCAGTTACAGTGACCTTATTAGCGCCGCCAGAGAGCGTTTATACTGACGGACTTCGGATATCAGATCCCAAGCGCGTTTTCTCTCTGTCCCGTGTTTAACTCCCTGCCTGAGGTTTTGAGGAAAGCCAAGACACCTTGCCAGTAACTCAGTAACTGGTCTGTAACTTAAATGGTCAGTAACTGTAGCCTTTTCCTTTTTCCCTCTAGCCATCATTCTACAACGCTGCACAAACGATGTCAATCGGATTCAAACATGCAGATTGTTTTGTGTCTAAGCTTTGATATCATTAGCACAACATCTTTTGTTGATCTGACCACCAGAGAGGGGAGGAAGCAGCTGCAGGTGATTCCTGAGGCCTTCAGTATCCACAGTCCCTCCTGCGTGGATTCCCATCCAAGAAATCCAATTACACTACTTCTAAATGAAAAATGCATTTTCATGATTTTCGTGCTGAATGTGGGAAGGGGCCATATTTACCAAAGATGTGAAGATGTGAATAACAATTATTTTTCTTCACAAAGCTCCAGAGTCACAGTGCAGGAACAGCTTTCATCACCTGTATGTGTGCGGTGTCTTTAGGATGTTTTGTGTTTGTCTTCGTTTAGCTACAGGACCGTGGTCAGACCTTCCTACAAAGTGGTCTATCGCACTGTGACCTCTCTGGAGTGGAAATGCTGTCCAGGATTCAGCGGCGCTGCCTGTGAAGAAGGTAAGTCAAGACAGAAGGAGGCCGACACAGCTGTAGCTGAGAGAACTTAACAACGGTGGGGGGATCGAGAGGGGGCCCGTTTTCTAGGATTGAAAAATGGTTTAGTGCTTTTCATCATTCTTCGTCTCCTCCAGCTTACACATGTGTCACCATCTGCATCCCTCTGCTTTGCATCTGGTGTCTCCCACATGTGTGCCTTCCAACACATGAGCATACAAGTAGTACTTTGAGGAGTGATTTCCATTAAGTTTACATAAGGCACCTTCAGTCTTCTAAAGGAAGTTAAGAAATCAGATCCTCTTCAGGGTGAGTCACATACTTAATCATTTTTAATGTGGTCATTGTACTTCGTAAGGGTTGATCCTACAGTGTGGTTTAGAGTTTTATGGTGCAGCTGGAACCAAGTCTTCATGCTCTTAAAGTGCCCTGCTAGCACTGCTGTTTTCATTTTTCAACTACAGTAGCTGCCCATACACACTCACACACACACGCACACACAGTCCCAGTGTGTAATGACTTCCTGGCACCGGCCAACGTGTCTGTGCCGTCTCACAGAAGGGTGGAGTGTCTTGTTTGTGTGGCGACCCGGGACCTGACTGGGTGTAACATAAATGGTCGGGCTTTGCCACACAAAGGACAGTAAATGTTTACAGTGTTTGGAAGTGGTCACTTTATTTGTGCTGCTGGAAGCAATTTCTCCGTATGCTACCACTGCGATGTGCACCAAGAGCAGTTCTCTGGCCTCTGAGGGCCGATGCAGTGAGGCTCCATCTGGACAAATTGAATCGCTTTAAAACGGCACTTTGAAAGTCTAAAGAACACATTGATTACCCAGAATTTCCTTAACAAAAGCAGAGGAACACACAGTCAAAACGGGGAGGAAATTATCCAATTAAGTTGTTGCCGGAGGAGATTCCCCTGCGGTTGTCATGGCAGTAAGGGGGGTTGTCGGGCCGGCGGGGATGCAGCGATTAACCACTTATCTGAGCGCCGTTCCGGGTGTTTTGGATCACAGGCGGCGCTGAGTAGAAGTGACGGCTCCCATTCACAGGGCCTTCGCGCCCGGCACCATGGACGCTATCCAGGGCCAACCGGCGCTTTGTTCTGCTCCTGCCGGCTGAGCAGAACCTCTTGCCAGGGCAGAACCGGATACCCCGCTGCCGTCTGCCTCATTCACCGCTGACTGAAGATGAAATAAAAGCTCGCCACACGGGCAAAGACCGGATTGTGCTTGAATCCGTTGCCATAATGTTGCCACGCTGGACACGTAGTTCAGGTTTTTTTTTTAAATTCAGCCTCCTAATGGCCATTTGTGGCTCCGCGTATTGTCTTTTGTTGCTGGATTTCCAGACGGCTTTGACCTTGAGACAAATACCAGGTACAAAAAGCATGTCTGTTATATAAAAGAACAAACATCCTTTTTCAATCGTTCTGTCTAGGTCAGACATTAAAAAGATATTGCTTCTGATCTCATAATGATCTCACTCCGGATACATCTATCTGTGACTCTTTTGGATTTCCAGTGTTGGTCGCATACCTTTTACTCCCATCATCCCTTTTTCCTCTGCTTGTCTGCTTTTTACAGACTGTGGAAAATGTGTATGATCCGCTCATTTATCCGCGTTGCCGCGCTGTTACTTCAACCCTTCTCATTAACCCAACCCGAAAGCCTCCGGCCACGTCTCGCTCCCAGGGCCCGTCTGCATCACAGCAGATCCCAACAGAGGACGGGAAGTGTTTAGTCTTGATGTGCTTATATTTTAAATGGAGAGGAGAGAGTGGTTTTTGTGTCCCTCTGTTCTCACCCGTTTGCCTACCTGTCGATCGGTCAACTTATCAACAGGTCCAGTCTGAAGAAAAGATGTGTGAGAGCAGCAGATGTAAATGAGAGAACAATATGGGAAGAGTTCACGCCACGCGGACCTCCAGTTACCCTTTGGCATGTCACACTCCGAAAGCAAAACATTACGTCACTCCGAGGCTGATAAACAAACTAACTCGGAGTCCAAGCGCAGTAAGATGACACCACATGAGACCCAAACCTTTCCCATTCACTCGTCTCTACCTAAACCTCAGCACTTGGCTGGAATTCTGGGCCAGTGGTGTAATTACGGGATCCTAATTGTTTTCTATGAGGTTTGGGAGATACTGTCTTACTTGTGGATCTGGAACACAATAGTTTTTTTTTTATCTCTGGTTGAGCTTGAGGAAAAAAAGGCTAAGTATTTGCAGATGGAGCCACTTTCATAGCTTGCCAGATACATGGATTTAATGTGTGCCTGGTTGGCTTTGGCATTCCAAGTAAGTAAACGCTTGTTTTCAGATTGATATCCTAAGTTGTGATACGTAAAACACATACATCAAAATCATTCCCCATTTAGAAGCAAATTTTTGATAATAGAATATCAAATGTAACCCATAAAACCAACATTATTACATTAGAGCTGCCTCTCAAAACAGCAGTTATGTCTATCTGTCAAACTCATTATTTTGGACTCCGTATGTTGGTTTTGATGAAGTCTCAAAGGTGGGAAGACGGCAGTAAAAGAGCAGACACGTTGGCTTTTTGTCTTGTTTCTTGACAGGACAGCCCTTAAAAGAAACTGCTTACAGCAGGAGGGGGCCGGCATGCGGCAGAGCATACGGGGGCTCGCATTAGCACGGCTGTCAAAGCTCTGCCGCGGGGGTCCCCGTCCTATCTTGCGGCCCAGCGCAGGCCGCGCATTCATTTGGTGGCAGCCACGGTGCGGCTGGGAGGCGTAAATAAGCCGCAGAAACGTAATCTGTGTTTTCACAGCGCGGCGCGGCTTATCGCGCTAAACCCCGCGCTTTAAACATCAGTCGGCTGCAGCTTGCCATTAGCAGAGGCCGCCGCCATGTGTGTGTCTGTCTGACTGCCAGAGTGAATGTGTGGGCGGAGGAGCGAGGTGTTGAGGATTTGTACAGTGAGGGATGCAGCTGTTTGGCGTGATTAGTTGCTTTAACTGGGGGGGGCTGAACAAGAGCAGGTGACCTCCACGCTATCAAAGTCCTCACACACAGACAAACAGGGAGTCAGCCCTCCTCTAAACGTTGTCACTTTGTTGGATCCGCCTGTGTTTGCATTAGCAGGTGTAGAATAGTTTTATTCCCCCCCCCTGCTCCGAAGCAAGAATCAAGAAACACAACTGATTTGATGTCAGATTTAGCCAAATCCAGGGTATTTATGGCCTCATGAGACGAGATCCACAGAGACGCATGAATCACGGGGAGGCCGACCGGTGCCGGCGCGCAGAAAAGGCCACAGCAGCTGATATTCATAGTTATGTAAATGGCCAGCGCAGCACAAGTGCTGAGCCCAAATTGGAAGCAGCTGAAGTTGATGCAATTTGGGACGAGGGCCCCGGACCAGATTAGACACGGGAGAGTCCAACTCCATGAGGCCACGCCGCTCTGCTCGGGGGGAATGTCATTATAGTAATGAATTAATAAACAACACCACTGAAGATACAGAAAACTAACCAGACCACAAAGTGGAGGGGTGTTTTTCCTCTTCTCCTGTCGGCGTTTCTTCACATTTTTCGTATTGTGTAATGCTGCTGTGTGTATTAAGTTTTATAGTTTAATGAACAATCGTCAAACTATACTTTCTAGAAGGGCTCAGGAATTTAAATTGGAATTCTGATAATATGACGTTTTGTTTAAACGTTTCATGCAAACCCCAAACAGAGTCTCTGGAATAGCTATTATAATTATGACTATATGCATTCGTGGTTAATGACCAACTGTTCAGCCTGATTCATTCATTCTTAATCATTATAATAGATTTGATAACATGAAGCACATCTCCTGGTGTTTAGTGTGTTCTTCTACTGTACCATGACTGGCATTGATCAAGAGATGTAGAGCCACAATTCTGTAGCTGAAACGTTTTAAAGTTTCATACATATAAGTGTTATGTATCTGACTCCTGGACTGGAAATGCCTCTTCAGCTTACTGATTTATTTATTATTTCACAGAGTTCTCTGAGGAGTGCATTGAAAACTGGTTTTCCTCACATAAAGTGAAGCAGTGCGAAAAAAGCTTCTCGGGTGAAAATAGACACACACACGCGCACACCCACACACACACACATGCCATGATTCTTCTGTCCCAATAAAGCAGAGGCATTTCCCCCCACCCAGTATTTTAAGTGGACTTGTGAGCAGACAGAGTGACCCACAAACAGAAAGGCTCTTTACAACCTAAAGGATCACGCAATCATCAGAGAGACGCTCTCTTCCTGGCCAAGATAAGGCCGAATGAACCCGTGAACAGCGCTTTTATTATGTCGACAGATAAAGAAGAGAAAAGGCTTTCAAACCCTCCTCGCTGCTGCAGGTGTGGGCTCTCTCTCCTTCCTCTCATCGCTTATCCGCTCAGCAACTGATGCCACCGATGCTGCGTTCGGCCCGTCCGCTCGCCGCCTTCTAACGTATCCCCGTCCCGCGTGCTGAAGCCGGGGGGGGGGGTGACGGGATGTCGCTACTGTTCAACAGAGCTCTGCTGACTTTAAGTCGGCTGTGGGAAGACGACGAAGCTTATTTTGGCATCAGCGCAAAGACGTTGGCAGCAATGCTGAGTGGGTAGATAATGACTACATTCTACATGGACCGGATGATTGACTGCTTCAATTGATTTGATGAAATAACACTTCAAACACGCAGCCAGCAAAAGTAAGAGCATATCACCAGTTCACAGAAAATAGTGATCGATGCTAAAGGATGTACTGAACTCCTAGTGACGGGCTGTTTCAGACAAAGAGAAACCGCACACGCAAGCTGGTTGGCAAACGTAACCAAATAGTCAATCATCAATTATTACAGATGGACTTTCTCTCAATTCAACTTTCAACCGTACAATGAAATTTCACTCTTTCAATATCCTGTAATGTCTCCTCACTGCTGTCTCCCCCCCCCAAGCTGTGGATATAGACCACAAAACACAATAAAACAGTTGTTTTTAGATGAAATATAATTGT